GAGTGATCAGATCGACTACTCAGCTCGATCTCTACACCTTATCCGGCCAGCTCACTTTTGGCATGTAGTGAGGGGACCATTTTTTTTGTTTGGCTAATTTAGGCAAATGGGCGTGAACCATTCATTTTGTCTTGGACCAGTTGGATATTTTCTTATGCTCTTTTAGGCTTTTCGCCATTGTTACTGTTTTTCAAGCTTTTCATGTTTTGAACCTTTAAGATCTTATTTAATCTAAGTGCTTTTCTTAATCGCTCTTGCTTAATCATGTTTAGCTTTCTTTCCCTTGCATTTTCGTGTGTTTTAGCTATGTGTAGTGAGTAGATTTCTTTGGGTTTAAGGTTGGGGCAATTTAAGGGGTTTAAGGGTTTAAGCTTTAGTCATTTTCTTGTTCTTAATCTATTCTCTTCTTAGATTTGGGGTCTTAATTCTTAGAGAGTCTTGGGAAAGATCTCTATGATCCCAGGGCTTTTCTTACCTTGACCGGATTCAGAGATCCCTTAAAGCCAAATCCAAGAGACTAGCTCATCCTTTCCCAAACTCCATGGATGCTTAGGGAGCTAGTTAAGTCAAAATTTGAGAAGTTTGCTTAATGTTCTTTGATCCTTCTTACCACTACATGCCATAGGTTAGGAGGAAGGGTCGAGGAAAGGATCTATACCACACGCCATGAGTAGATCTATGTTTTCAAACCCAAAGCTTGAATCTTGAACCTTCTTAAACATGACCCTCAATCTTGAATCCTCTTGTTAGCATTTTAAAACTCAAGTTTATCATTTCTTAGTCATAAAGTTTGCATCTTTAATCTTTAAAAGCCATTGTTCTAAGTTGCTAGAAATTCTCTGTTTACCTGCTTTTAGTTCTTGATTTTTAATAATTAGTAGTCTTGCATTTTAAATTTCTAGATTTCGTTTAGTAGTTGTTAACCCTTAAGAGGGATTTTTAAAACAGTTTTCTTGCTCATTTCATATTGCATTTAGTTTTTACTTAATTTCTCATCAATTTACCCGAATCTGCTTGGCTTTGCATTGCTCTTGCATTCTTAGTGACTTTCATCAACCTAGGCTGGATTAGACACCCATACCACTATACTACATCATAAACATGTGGTTTGGGCTTTGATATTCTTGCTTGCTAAAACCATGTATATCAAATGGTGTCGTTGCCAACTTAGGTTTGATTAGAAAGTATTAGGATTTTGAGCTTAGTAAAGACTAAGTCCTTTATTTTACTTTGGTTACTCATTTCTCTACCATACTGCTTGTCTTCTCAGGTACATGAATTGAAGGTCTACAGGTGACAACAATCTACTACAACCTCTAGACAACATTCATCAACTTGGAACTGCAAGGCTAAGAAGAGAGAGACAACAAGCACAAGACTTTGAGGAGCTACCAGGTTTTGTTGAGTGTGTGGGTATGGCTGAGCAAGACCAAGCTGAGGGTCAACATAACCACGTGACTGTTGGTAGGGGTAATGGAAACCCCAACCACGCCCCAAGACCACCAAGGATCATCGGTGCTGGTGATGCACCTAACACACATCACAACCGATTTGGAATCAATCCTCCACCAGTGCAAAACAACAACTTCGAGATCAAGCCATGCTTCATCTCCATGGTGCAGAACAACATGTTACATGGGCTTGCAATGGAGGATCCTTTGGAGCATCTTGACAACTTTGAGCAAGTTTGTAGAATGATAAAGATCAATGGCATCCCGGAGGACAACTTCAAGCTTAGGCTTTTTCCTTTTTCACTTGGGGATAGAGCAAGGCATTGGAAGAAGACCTTACCTCAGGGGACTATCACCTCATGGGCTGAATGCAAGAATGCTCTCAAAGTTCTTCTCCAGCACAAGGACAGCTCGGCTAAGAAGTGAAATCAGCGGTTTTACACAAAGGTAGAATGAGACCTTTAGTGAAGCAATGGAGCGGTTCAAGGACTACACTATAGCTTGTCCTCATCACGGCTTCAGTGAGGAGACACTCTTGAGCACCATCTACAGAGGAGCTCTTCCCAATATTCGCATGCTCCTGGACACGGCAAGTAAAGGCAACTTTCTTGGTCAAAATGTAGAATAGGGAATGGAGCTCATAGAGAACTTTGCTTTGAGTGATGAAAACTACAATGAGGACTATGATCGCGCACCTAGAGGATCTGATCTTGAAGCTCACAAGAAAGAAATGAAGTCCCTCCATGAGAAGATAGACAAGCTAGTACTTGCAAATCAAAAGCAAGTGCACTTTGTAGGAGAAGCCGCGGATGTTCTTGAAGAGTTAGAGCTGAGCCAAGAAGAAGCGGATTGGGTTGGAGGTCAGAATTACAACAAGCCACAAGGCTATGGTCAAAGCTATCAGGGCAACAACAACCTCTCCTATAGAAGCACTAATGTGGAGAACCCTAAAGATCAAGTGTACCCTCCACAATAAGGAAAACCTTTTGTACCTTACAACAAAGGGTTTACACAAAATAGTGGGTACCAAGGGCAGAGACAAGGCAACTTCCAAGGTCAGCAACAGCTACAAAACAACAACAACTCTCCTGTGTTTCCTCCTTATTTCGTGCCTCAGCAGCAACAAGCTCAACCGCTACCTCAAGATCCGATTCAAGCAATGTTTCAACAATTGCTTCAGGGACAAGCTTCTACAACTCAGTAGTTTGTTGATTTCAACAATAGACTGGACTCTTCTTTCACTGAGGTATCTACACAAATCACCAACCTGAACAACAAGATTCACCAGCTAGAGAGAGGAAAGGCTAGTTCAAGCGGTGAAGGAAGCTTACCCGGCAAGTGTGAGCAAAATCCTAAGGAGTATGTCAATGCTATTACCTTGAGGAGTGGGAAAGAGCTAGCACCACGGCCTATGCCTAAAGACAATACGGACATTGTGGTTCAAGAGGGGGGGAGTAAGCTTTCAAATGATCAAGACATCACGTTTGACAATGTCTGGATTGCAAGACCTAAGAAAGGCAAGGAAGAGGTCTTAGAGAAAAAATTGGAGCAAGTTAGAAAAGATAAAGATGCTTTTGTTCCTCCACCCTACGTACCAAAGTTTCCCTTCCCTGGACGGTTCAAGAAGCAGCTGATTGAGAAGCATAGAGTTTTGTTTGAGAAACATTTGAAGGCTGTTGAGATAAAACTGCCTTTAGTTGATTGCTTAGCTATGATGCCAAAATGCGCCAAGTACTTCAAGGATACCCTTATCAAGAAAAAAAAAGAGAGTAAAGAGGTCTTGTTGTTGAGTGAAGAATGTAGTTCAATCATCCACAATGAGATAGTTCCTAAGAAGCTAGGAGACCCAGGATCATTCACTATCCCTTGTGCACTTGGACCTTTGAAGTTTGAAAGTTTCTTGTGTGATATAGGAGCAAGCATTAATCTTATGCCTCGCTCCATTGCCAAAAAGCTAGGCTTTACCAAGTTTAAGGAGTGCAAAGTCTCACTTGTGCTGGCTGATAGAAGTGTAAGGCTCCTTGTAGGCGTGTTTGAAGACTTAACCGTGAGGATCAGTGGTGTGAATGTGCCAACAGATTTTGTAGTTCTAGAAATGGATGAAGAGCCAAAGGTTCCTCTTATCCTTGGTAGACCCTTTCTAGCAACTGCTGGAGCCATCATAGATGTGAAGAATGGGAAGATCTCTCTATACCTTGGCAAGAAAACAAAGCTAAACTTTGACATCAATGAAGTCTTGAAATAGCCGACTTATGGTGGGCAAGCGTTCTACATAGGAGGTTTGGATGCATTGGCCGATGAGTCGCTTGAAGAACTGAGAAAAGAAGATCATCTACATCTGGCTTTGACAAGCGAGTGTGGGGAGCATGGTTTCTTGAATGAGCAGACCCAGGAGTATGTTCGCATCCTTGATTCTCGAAAAGTTGTGAAAGAAGATGAAGGCCATTGCCTAGAGATCGACTTGGAAATCGACGAGATCACTCGATCCCGGGAAGGCATTTATATACATGTAATGACTTCCTTAATTTATACATTATAGGAAAGTCTTCCTAAAAATTTAGAATATCTTCCTAAATTTACGCTCATCTCTTTCCTCATCTCTGCGACATCCAAACCCTAATTTCCGCCGATTTTTTTTTTCACAATTGTTGTTATTTTAGCTCGGGTTTTTTGAGTTTTTCACTCAATTATATTAGATATATCTATCATTATATGATTTTGAGCTTTAAGTCGTGAAATAACTTTCCCATCAAAAAAACCCCAAAAAATCTAAGAGATTCACAATCACAAATCACAATCAAATGAGAAAAGTAATCTTAAACAAAACAAATAATTCGAATTTCAGATCAGTTTTGGCTATTGATACATTTGTTTATACATTATTTTTCTTTTATTTTGATTAACTAATGTTTTGTCTAACTAAGATTAATATAGTACAAAATGTTATGGATGATTTTTTTTTAGAATATGAGTGTATATATAGAACAAAAACTTAGATTAAGTGCATTTAGAAAATTTCTCTTTAATAAATACTATAGTAAAAGTTGGAAGTTGTGCTTCTTTTTTAATAATATAAATACATTCTAGTCATAATTTTCGTTTTTCTTGATTTTATTGAAAAAAAACGCTCGCTCTCTCTCTCTCAAAAAGCGATGGAAGCGGAGATTTAGGGTTCTTATGGTTTGCAATCAAAAGGAAATCGATCGATTCAATGGAATTTCTGGAATAAAATTGAGGGTTTTTGGAAGAGATTATCACTTTGAGGTAACGATTTCATGGAGTGGGTCTCGCTCAACATCTGGGATGCGTAAGGATGGTTCGATCAGAAGTCTCAAGGGTCTCGATGAATACAGGGGTTTAAATGGCGGATTACCAAGAGTTACTAACAGTGTGTATCCTTCCGGGGATATGGCATCATTTGGGGAGTGCAGCGAGTACTGGAAGATATAGGACGGTTTATTGAGGGTTTTCATCTCCCGAGAGGTGGAGTATTATATAGTGGTTCCTGGAGTAGAAGCGGTAGCTGAAGGAAATTCAGAGCAAGGAACAATGGTTCGATGGTCCAGATCTAATACTCGGGATCCATTCCTCGAGAGCGGGATCATCATTGGTGTTAAGGACGCAGATTGCCTATTCTGCTTCAGTGATAGACAAAGAACAAAGACGATGACCCTCCGGTGGTTAGTACGGACTACACAGAACACAGACAATGGAAAGGCAAGCTGTTGGAACCATTTTGAAACTAGTGGGCAGAGGTATGCAGAGCTTTGTGTTCTTCTTCTGTCACTGTCTCTTCTCTCGCTGTCTCTCCACCCGCGAGGAGGGATATGGGGAACGACAATCTCACTACTCTCACTACTATCATGGAGGTGGGAAATGGAGTTTTGTAAGGTTTCGTGCTTATTCTGTTATGGAGGTTCTGTTGATGGAAGGAGAGTTCTGTGGAACCCTCTGTTGAAATCACGGGTGTTTAAGGTACATAATCTAATTTTCGGTGTTCCGTCTTCAACTACTTCTAGACTCAGGAATGATAAAATTAAAAATACAAAATCTCAGAGTCTGAATGCAGTCAAGATCTATTTAGGGGAATACAAATACATAGTTATTGCTGATTTGTTGACAAACTGGATTATACAGATTGTAATGGTGTTCAAAGGGATGATTAGGATTATGGCTATCAATTGTGATTCAGAAATATCACATTTATCAATCAATGATGGATCTCGTATGGTACAACGGAAGGATAATTTCATTGGGATTCACGGGTTTCCAAATTTAAACGAAGTACAGCGTTTTTCATCGCTTCAATTAAATTTAGCGTATTATAATCAAAGATTTATGTCACGGAAATTATGGGAACACATCACAGGCACAATATTATGAAGGCTTTACGGGCATGTTTGGTATATAAAGGACATAGTCTGTGGGAATGAAAAAGCATATACTATACTTTGTTTTATCTCCACAGCTCTCTTACAATTGTTTACTGCTCTGTGTAATACAGTATTCACGATGTCCCAAGGAAGTCTAATGGCGTCTGGTGGGTGCAATAAGAGCAAAGACAAGCTTGCAACACGGTTGAAGATTACAGTTCCACAGTTTGACAATACAGAACTCATTAATGCATACTCCCGCACTCTCATTGGGCGTTATATGAATCCTGTGGCGCAGGAGATGAAGTCCTTATTGTTCATGCTACCTAGAATCTGGAAGGTGGAGGACCGTGTTGCTGGGGCAGATCTAGGCATGGGGCAGTTTCAATTCGATTTTGATGAGGAAGAAGACATTACGGCGGTACTGCAAATGGAACCATACCATTTCGATGGCTGGATGGTAGTGTTGGTACGATGGGAACCAATTATGGATCCCAATTATCCCTCGGCTCTTACCTTTTGGGTTCGCATGATGGAGGTCCCCTTGCATTTCTGGGAAGAGACGACGTTCAGAAGCATAGGTCAAGCTATCGGGGAAGTTCGTGAAGTTGATTTGGATGGTGGTCGAGTTAAGATTACTCTGGACAGTTTCAAAGAGCTTGTCTTCGAGACGTCAGTGGCATTTCACAGTGGCGATGAAACAACGGTTATACTCCGGTATGAACGGCTACATGGCTTCTGTCGCGAGTGCTGCAGTATGTGCCATGAATCGGGGAAGTGCCCACGACTGTATCCGAAGAGGGAGAGAAGGGATGAAACCCGAGACAGAGTTGGAGTACCTAGGGGAGAAATCAAAAGCTACAAGGGAGCTTTAGTAAGTGCAGGAGGAGTTGGCAACACATCAACTTCATCTACTATTGCGGAATCTTCTAAGGGGAAGGAGAAAGCATTGGACCCTCGGGAGGACAAGAGAAGGCAATATAATGATGGTGACAAAGAGAGACATCATGGGGATAATAACGGGAGTCTCAGGATGCCACCAAGAGAACGCAGAAACCAGGGAGGGGTTACACGGGGTATTCAAAGAAACATTGGAGGACAGAGGTTCATGAATGGGGATATGCGCACGGAGAAGAAAGTGGATTATGCAGGGATAACAGAGGCAACAGATAAGAAAAGCCCATCTAAGCACTCAGCAAAAAAGGTACGAAAAGGCATCGTTATTGAAAAAACAGTTCTAGGAACGGATGAACTTGGCAATATGATTGATAGAATGGGTATGCTGGAACCGGGGACTTTGGTAGAGGATAGTGTAGATGCATATTTAGAAGATGACATAGATTTGCTGGCTGAATACGATGGTGACAATGGGGCCACATGTAAGGATATCATGGAGGAGATTAATGGGATTAACGAAGAGGTCTTAGGGGAAGGGACTGATATGCAAGGTACAATAGGGGCCGATGGAGACTTGGTCAGCTGTAATGAGGGGGTAAACGAAGGGATAAATGGTAGTGGGATAATTGGAACTTGTGTGGAGGTTACAAAGGACCCAGTTAAGATGGGAGTAAGAAAGAAGCTCTTTAAGGGATCTGTTGCTGTTGGGGGAGGTTCTAAAAAGATGCTACATGCCACAACTCCGAAGAAGAAAGCTGTTACAAGGGACTGCAAACGTGAGGGGGATAAAGGGAAGCTTCAGCCTGGGAAAAATGAAGAGCCGACAGGGGAGTCGGAGGTACCAATCATTATTTAATGAGGATCCTAAGCTGGAATTATCAAAGATTGGGTAACAGGTTTACAATAAGCTACCTCAGAGCAATATGGAAGAAGTTTAGACCTGATTTCTTATTTCTCTCTGAGACTAAGCAATGTTTTATTTTTTTGGAACAATTTAAATTTTATTTTGGTTATGATTCTTTGTATACGGTTGAACCGTGTGGTGCTAGAGGCGGATTAGCCTTATTTTATAATAAAAGTTATGATGTTGATGTTTTATTTTCAAATAATAGACTCATTGGTGTAGAAGTAAATATTGAAGGAAATAAAACTTATTTATCTTTTGTCTACGGTGATCCGGTTCTAAAATGGAGAAATGAAGTATGGGAAAGAATAACAAGGACAAGTTTGACAAGGAATGATCTGTGGTTTTTAATTGGTGATTTTAATGAAATTACATGAAATCATGAAAAAGAAGGGAGCGCAATTAGACAAGCATCCTCCTTTGTTAGCTTTAATACAATGCTGGATAATTGCGGTTTAATTGATTTTCCAAATAGAGGGAACACTTTGTCCTGGAAAGGTTGGCGCCATGGGCAAAACATGCGGTGTAGATTAGATAAAGGATTAGCAACGGAGGATTGGCATAAGTTATTTCCTTTCTCATTTATAGAGTATTTAAGGATGATTGGGTCTGATCATAGACCTATTGTGGCGACAATAGAATCAAAGAAAATAAAACGACGAAGACAGTTTCGGTTTGATAAAAGATGGATAGGACAAGATGGACTGATGGATGCAATAACACGTGGATGGAGATATGATCCAGCTGTTTCAACAAACTCATTAGTTGATCGAATCGGATCATGTAGACGTGAGATATCCAAATGGAGGCAGATAAATCAACCATATGGAAGAGATAAGATTGAGAAATTACAGAGGCAACTGGAGGAGGTACAGACAGATGACACACGTACACAAGGGGAACTTAATGAGATAACCCAAAAACTCAAAGAAGCGTATCGGGATGAGGAACAGTTCTGGTAACAGAAAAGTCGAAATCTATGGAATAAGTGTGGGGACCTTAATACAAAGTTTTATCATGCAACAACGCAGCAACGTCGAACAATCAATAGGATCGTTGGGTTACGGGATAGACACGGTACTTGGGTAACTGGGGATAAGAAAGTAGAGAAGGTCGATGTAGATTATTTTAACGAACTATTTACATCCACCATGCCAACGGCTTTCGAGGATGCCTTAAGGGAAATTAAACCAGAAATTACAGAACGAGAGAATGCAGAGTTAATCAAAATGGCATCAGCAGATGAGGTGCGAGATGCGCTCTTCAAGATGCACCCAGAAAAGGCCCCTGGTCCTGATGGAATGACAGCCTTATTTTTCCAGAAGTCATGGGAAATTATAAAAGGAGATGTGATACATATCTTAAATAGTTTTTTAAATTCGGGGAGTTTTGATAAACGATTAAACATGACAAATATTTGCCTGATCCCAAAAAAGGAAAGGCCAACTAAAATGACGGAACTAAGACCCATTAGTCTCTGCAATGTGGGCTATAAGATCATATCAAAGGTGTTATGTCAACGATTGCGGAGATTGTTACCATGACTGATCTCGGAAACACAATCAGCTTTTGTGTCAGGTAGGTTAATATCGGATAATATTCTAATTGCCAAGAAATGTTCCACGGATTGCGGACAAATAAGTCTTGTAAAACGAATTTTATGGCGGTTGAAACAGACATGAGTAAAGCTTATGATCGGGTTGAATGGTCTTTTATCGAGAATTTGCTTTGGAAAATAGGATTTGCAGAAAAATGGATCACATGGATGATGTGGTGTATAGAATCGGTGCAATATAAGATGCTCATTAACGGTCAACCACGGGGAAATATTACACCAAAGAGGGGGTTGCGACAGGGGGATCCTTTGTCGTCCTATCTCTTTATTCTCTGTACAGAGGTACTAATTTCAAAATTAAGGAAAGCAGAGCGGGAAAAAACTATTACAGGGATGAAAGTAGCACGGGGAAGCCCGGCGGTTTCACACATGCTATTTGCAGACGATAGTTTATTCTTCTGTAAAGCGACACAGACAAAGGCGACTGTGCTATTGCATATTCTAAAACAATACGAAGCAGTCTCCAGCTAACTTATCAATTTTGATAAATCATCGGTACAATTTGGCCACACAGTGGATACGGAGGTGCGATGACCTGTACAAAATTTATTAGGTATCAATAACATTGGAGGGATGGGGACATATTTGGGGATTCCACAAAGTCTTGGAGGGGCTAAAACAAGAATATTCAATTTTTTAATAGATAGACAAGGAAAAAGAATTAATGGATGGACATCTAAGTTATTATCGAAAGGAGGAAAAGAGATCCTTATAAAGTCCATGGCCACTGCAATGCCAACATATGCTATGTCCTGCTTTAGATTGCCGAAAGCAATAACCAGAAAACTTACAAGCATGGTGGCCAATTTTTGGTGGAGCAATAATGGGCAAACTTGGGGTATGCACTGGCTTGCTTGGAAGAAGTTATGTAAGTCCAAATCTATCGGTGGGCTAGGTTTTCGTGTTATTGAGGACTTCAACACAGTTCTTTTGGCCAAACAGCTCTGGAGACTTATTGATTATCCGGACTCACTTTTTGCAAAAGTTTTTAAAGGCCGCTATTATAGAAAGGGAACACCACTAGACCCAAATCGTTCTTATTCTCCTTCTTATGTGTGGAAGAGTATTATTGCTGCTAGATCTCTGGTACAAAAAGGACTTATTAAAAGAGTTGGTTCTGGTCATTCCATTTCTGTATGGAATGACCCATGGATTCCAGCATCGCGGCTGAGATCAACTTCATGCAAAGGGTATAATTGTTATCCAGAGCTCACGGTCAACTAATTAATTGACCTAATAACCTCGACGTGGAATTTACAACTACTTGAACAATTGATACTACAGGAGGATATATCCTTGATCACTGGGATGGCAACTACCAGTGAGCAACGTCCAGATACTCTGGGATGGAATTTTATAAAAACAGGGAGATACACAGTCAAGTAAGGATATTTAACTGAGCAACTTTATCCCACAAATGGAGACATTAATATATGTTATGGGCCAGATGTGAGTCAATTACAGGCCCAAGTATGGAAAATCAAATGCCCACCAAAAATGAAACATCTTATGTGGCAACTACTTTCGGGATGCTTGGCGGTTCTGGATCGTCTTCGGAGTAGAGGAGTGAGTGATGACCCCCAATGTCGAAGATGTGGAGCGGCCAAAGAAACTATTAATCACACACTTTTCGAGTGTCCACCATCCTTTCAGGTTTGGGCATTGTCACCAATACCTACACCTACACATCAGTTTCCCACAGAGGCTTTATTCTCAAATATGGCAAATTTGTTTTGGAATTTACCAAACCATAATGATATGAAAGTTTATTCCTGGCTTTTGTGGTATATTTGGAAGATGAGAAACGATAAATTCTTCTCTAATATTGATCGGGATCCCCGAGAGGTAGTAAAACTAGCGATAGCAGAATCAAATATTTGGGAACAGGCACAGACAGAGGACATAGTGGAAAATTTTCCACAGGAAACGCAAATGGAAATTTTTACCCATACTGGGGTAATCTGCCATACAGATGGATCATGGAAACAAGGGGCACCCAACGCAGGATTGGGCTGGTTTAGTCAAGGTGTGGGTACGGTGGGAACGCTTTTGGGTATGCGTAATGTACGACGCAGTATATCACCTCTACATACGGAGCTGGAGGCATTAATATGGGCAATGCATTGTATGCTAGATGCAAGACGAATGTCGGTTGCTTTTGTCACAGACAGTTCTGAACTGGTGCAGATGGTGTCCAATCCAGCAGAGTGGCCGGCATTCTCTCTACATTTGGAGGAATATGAAAGGAGCAGAAGAGAGTTTGTTTTCTTCTCAATCTCAAAGATTCTTCGCGCGCAGAACACAAAGGCAGACAAGCTAGCACGGAGTGCTCGAGACTACCTTTATCATCTAGATTATGTAAATTCAACTCCACCGATCTAGCTTTCTGAATCGTTGTACAAGTATGAGGCTGTTGACAAAAAAAAAAATACATTCTAGTCATAGTCACTGCCATATCAACAATCACTTAATAGTTTAGTTTGAGACTTGGTGAATCGCTTAACCTTTTTCTTATTAAAATGCAGAGTCTTTCTTGTTCCAAAAAAAAATGCAGAGCCTTCCTAATAGATATATGGTACTAAGAAAAAGCAATAGTCAAGGCTTATTCATTACTGAAAGTGAGAACTGAGAAGTCAGAATTTGCTTCTAACATCACATGTCAAGGATCCCATTTTATAGCCAACCAAAAACGACTCAGTCCTAAACGAATAATTTTTTAAAAGGCTACGTAAAAGTAAAATATGACGTGTGCATAGACGTGAGATTCGCCGTCTACAACTCCATTAATTGATCTGATCTTCATTACGTCTATATATATATCTCGAATGTCCCAAACTCAAAGGACAAATTAAGACAAAGAAAGAAAATTCCAAACCAGACAAGAAATCCTCTGTATTGTCTGATCGGGTCTGCAATATTTTACAATTTTCTTCTGTTTTCTTTTTGTTTTCTGCAATCAAACATGAACAAAGATGTCTCTAAGCGGATTCATGTTTGTTTCTTCCCCTTCATGGCTCATGGCCACATGATTCCAATTCTAGACATGGCCAAGCTATTCTCGAGCAGAGGAGCCAAATCAACAATCATCACCACCCCACTCAACTCTAAGATCTTGGAGAAACCCATTGAAGCATTCAAGAATCAGAATCCTGATCTCGAAATCGGAATCAAGATCTTCGATTTCCCTTGTGTAGAGCTTGGATTGCCTGAAGGATGCGAGAATGTTGACTTCATCAACTCATACAAAAAACCTGACTCAGGTGACTTGTTCTTAAAGCTTATTTTCTCTACCAAGTATATGAAACAACAATTGGAGAGTTTCATTGAAACAACCAAACCGAGTTGTCTTGTGGCCGATATGTTCTTTCCTTGGGCGACGCAATCCGCGGAGAAGTACGGTGTCCCAAGACTTGTGTTCCACGGCACATCTTTCTTTTCTTTGTGTTGTTCTTATAACATGAGGACTCATAAGCCACACAAGAAAGTCGCTACGAGTTCTACTCCATTTGTAATCCCTGGTCTCCCGGGGGACATAGTTATCACAGCAGACCAAGCAAATCTTGCCGACGAAGAAACACCAATGGGAAAGTTCATGAAAGAAGTCAGGGAATCAGAGTCCCTTAGCTTTGGTGTTTTGGTGAATAGCTTCTACGAGCTGGAATCGGCTTATGCTGATTTTTACCGTAGTTTTGTTGCGAAAAGAGCTTGGCATATCGGTCCGCTTTCGCTATGCAACAGAGAGTTTGCGGAGAAAGCTGAAAGAGGGAAAAAGGCAAACATTGATGAGCAAGAATGTCTCGAATGGCTCGAGTCTAAGACACTTGGTTCGGTAGTTTACATGTCCTTTGGCAGCGGAACTAGCTTCACCAACGAGCAACTGTTAGAGATGGCTTTCGGTCTTGAAGGTTCTGGACAAAATTTCATCTGGGTGGTTAGGAAAAATGAAAACCAAGGTAAAGAGTTCCTCTTTACCTCTTTGGTTAGCATGCTTTTATTAGTTAACCTCGCTTTATACTAACATTTGTGTATATTTCTGTATTGTTAAATATATGGCAGTGACTAGATGACTAAATATACTTATTATGAAACAATTTATGAAATTAACTTTGGCGTTGATGTGGTTGGGACAGGTGAAAATGAAGAGTGGTTGCCTGAAGGGTTTGAGGAGAGGACGAAAGGCAAAGGGCTGATCATACGTGGGTGGGCACCACAAGTGTTGATACTTGACCACAAATCAGTTGGAGGATTCGTGACGCATTGCGGGTGGAACTCGGCTATGGAGGGCATTGCCGCAGGGCTGCCTATGGTGACTTGGCCGATGGGTGCAGAACAGTTCTACAATGAGAAGCTACTGACAAAAGTATTGAAAACAGGAGTTAACGTAGGAGCTACGGAATTGGTGAAAAAAGGTAAGGTGATTAATAGAGAGGAAGTGGAGAAGGCAGTGAGGGAAGTGATAGCTGAAGAAGAGGCAGATGAAAGGCGGAAACGCGCTAAGAAGCTAGGTGAGATGGCGAAAGCTGCTGTTGGAGAAGGAGGGTCTTCTTATAATGATTTAAACAGGTTTATGGAAGAGGTGAATAATAGAAAGTAGAATAAAGCATAATATGATTTTAATGTTGTGAGATGGATTCTTGACTTAGCTTTGGCTACTACCGTTGCGTTTGTTAAGAGAGTCTACATAATAAAAGGTTTTAAATTAAGTCAACCGTATAGATTGGAAAAATGTATTTGGTTTTCTTTTATGGCAGATTTAAGTATCTGCTTTAAAAAATCGATTTCCTCGTTACACCTAGTTATTGATCAAGGAAGACACTAGGTATCTTTAGAAATCAGATCAAACAGAATAGAGAAAATAAAGACATTGATATGGAAATTGTTGCAAGTTTTGTATCAGGTGTAGTATACGAGTATGCCATGAATTGAGTCTAATAAATTTGTAGATCAATACCCGGCCAATCTTACTTGGTACGAATAAAAAAACAATATGCAAAATCCAAAATTTGCTGCAATTGGATCCTGTCACTGGGAGAGCATGAGACACAAATTCTAGATTCAATGTAATCTTGACATGTGTTTTGTAAATAAAGTGATGAAGAACATTTCCTATTAACACAAAAGTTTAGAGCAAAGTACCTATTAAGAATCCAAAATTTGTGTCTTATACTATATAACTTAGGTGAAATAATCAATAATATTATTTATTATAATTTAATAATAACTTTGTATGTGATAAACTAATAGTTATGATTTATTTTTTGACGTGTCAAAGTCATCCATCTCGGAAAAAAGTAATTGTTTCAAATTCTAATTTTTCTTTTTAAAAATTTATGATCATATTTTTACACAATACATTTAAAATAAATTGGACGAATATCATTTGTTGACCAAAAATTAAGTAAATATTAATAACATTTAAAAGATAATAAATAACAAAATGAATAGTTTTAAAAAATCAGATATATTTTTGTGATTTATGGATTGTAGTAAATTGAGAAAATGACAAAAGAGATTTAGAGGTATAAACATGATAATAATTACTATCACTTAACCGAATAACATGCTGTTTGATTTAATTTATCACTTAATCGAATAACATACGGTTTGATTTAAAACTGAGAAAATATTAAATTTATTTTAAAGATGATTTTAATTTTCCAGCGACGGTGTAGATGTCGATTTCGCAATATACCACGGTGGTAAATTCGTAATTTTGGATGGAATCACCTCTTTATATGATGGAGGAGAGGTTCATGAGCTTAAAAGCTCTCCATAAATGGTGCTTCGGAACGTTTCAGATGTATTGGGAATTTCCACAGAAGAAGATCCCTTGAAACCACCATTCAACCACCATCCAGAGATGACCGGCTGCCTACAAAGGAGGAAAAGAAAAGAAAAAAAGGAAAGGGTGAGTCTCCACAGAAGAAGAAGAAAGGAAAGGGAATGACTGAGCCTAAAGAGAAGAGGATAAAGCTGGCTATAGAGGGGAGAATTTCATGTTGTGGACGGTGTGGACTCCCAAGACATAACTCAAGAAGATGTGATCAAACCGGATGTTTCTTTCCCAGACCAAAGAAACAACCATCCGGTCTTAGTGAGGGAGAGGGACCAAGCCAGCAAAGCCAACCATCGCAGAGTTCTCATCAACCATCACAGAGTTCTCATCTCGGTTGAAGGTATTATTTTGTGATTTTTATACTTTGATGATGATTTTGTGATTGTTTTGGTGATTGTTTTGTGAATTTGGTGATGGTTTGATTAGTGTTGTTATGATTTTGTGATTTTTATATTTAGATGAGTTTGTGTTTGTTTTGGTGATTGTTTTGTGAATTTTATGATGGTTTGATTAGTGTTACAATCTCTGCATATTACGATTTTGCAGGATTTGGGAGAAGATTGAGATGAGAAGATTACAAGCTTGAGAGAGAGGAGGTTATCGATTTGATTTTTTTTTTTGATTTGGGGTTGAATGCAGCTGTTTTAGATATTGCTTGTTAGTCATGGCTTATTTCTATTTTGCATTTGGCATGACAAATAACTTTGGTTGTTAATGCCTCAGATGTAAAATTTTCAATGTTTTCGGCTTGTTCATATCAACTTGTTTCCCCTATGATTGCAAAATCTCAAATCTCAAATAAATCTCTTAACTATAATCTCAAATCTCTCTTAACCATACTGCATAAGTCTAAATCGACAATCCCATAATTAATAGCTAACACTACAATACAATACTGCAACTTAAACAATAAAGCTTATGATGATATGAAATAGATGACAAAGATTAATCCCAAACCACACACGATCATGTTTTTGCAGCAACTAGCAGCATATTTAAGTTCTCCTAACTCCTTCTCACAACAATTCACCATTGTCTTAAGCTCTTGAATCTCTTTGTTGCATCCTTCTGCATTCTTATTTGCCACAGCCTCACATGTCCTTGTCTCTATCGCCAAGTTCTCAACTTCCTCTCGCATCTTCTCAACCTCTCTTTCAACCACTCCCATCTCCTCAACCATTGAAATGTCGACCCATTTGAACAAATGAGTGTTATTCTATAAAATCTTTAATCAGCAAATCACAAGGATGAAATTATGCAAATTCTCAGATCAAACAACTAGTTTTAGAGCCTTACCTCTTTCGACCCAAACGGACAGCAATAGAAAAGTCTACCCGGATTCTTCTCTGTCTCTAAAGTCCTAATTATAGATGCTTCTCCACATCGACAACTTCTCGGAATTCCGAATCCTCCGTCACGTCCATGGCGTTTTTTCCCGTCGTAGCTCACTCCTTCATAGTTGAAGATAATCATCAATTAACTCTAATCAAACTCCGAAATGAACACAACAACACCGAATTTAAAGAATTGTTCACCTGAAGTAGCTGATGAAGACATCTCATTCAACCTAAAAAAATTTGTGTCGACTTTTTTCCCAATTTTGCTCAGGTTAAAGGTTGAAGATGATCTTATACGACGTCGTTTTTAGATTCTGTGTTTAACGTTAACAAAAACCATTTTTGATCCGATAATCCACGTCATTTTAGAGTTAACAGACCATTAGCCATGTAAGCTTCCGTTAACATACCTTTAGCCACGTCACGAGAATTGTATGATTTTTCCAAAAACTGAAAAGTTATGTATGAAATTCAAACGAATAAGTATTTTGTGTATGATTCGTGGAAGAGATAAACTGCAGGTATAAATCGAACATATCTCTGAAGTTTGGGCATGAAATAGCCGTTTTCCCGTCTAATGTCTATTAGTAATAATTGTTTATTTGAGATTGAGTTATATCACATATTGCTTCTTTTTTTGTTTCTTTTCAGATTTTCTCCTCTTTCTCTTTCTTTTTCTCTTTCTCTTTCTCTTTGTATCTGTATATCCTCTTCATTGTATTCTTAGCCTCTTTATCTTTTCTTCTTCGTCTCCTCCTCTTTTGCTGTCGTAACTCCTCCTCTTTTATGCTATCTCCTGATCCCAGCTTCTTCTCTTTCATCAAAACCCCCAATTTATTCTGCTCATTGACACAAGTTTTTTTAAGGCTTAATGCAGTTTTATTACACTAGATATATTATAGTAGCAACTGAGTTAATCAATCCAAACTTAGAAAGTATAGTGAGGATACAATAATCTTGCTAAGTTAGACAACAAAAGAAGTTTAAATTGGTTCACACTCAATCAAACAAACAAGTGTAAACATATAATCTAAATAACCAAAGTGCAAGGGTAATACTAATGGTAAAACAAAACAGAGCAAAACAGAGCAGGTACTTAACGAATTCGATATATTAAAAGGTAAGGTCTAAGACTAAGACAATATGACTTGGGTGATTCAAATCATGATCAAGGTGTAAGACAAACAATCAATATATTAATCTCTAAACAAGGACTACTAATAAAGACTAATCCAATCTCTTGGTACTAATCCTTTTACTAATCACACTCCTAACACATAATTAATGGTGAAAACATAATCAACAAACATTAATCACAAAGTTTATTAAACTAAAAAGCACCTTAGACAATATTAAACTAAAAAGCACCTTAAACAACTAATTCTTTAGGCTAAGCATATTAATCTCTTGTGCAAGGGGTCAAACATCAATTCACACTTCTATGCATAATCAATGTCTAATGGCAATTTTCTCAATCCCTAAAGTACTCTAGCATTAAGCTTAATCATGCAAGAAATGATAGATGCAAAAAGTTATGGCAATCAATACACCACTTTCAAGCAATGAACTTCATTCAAACATTTTATCAAACACCTAAGATGCAGCAAAACGTCTAGGGTCTATTTCTCATAAAGGGAGATACTTGGCCTTAAGAACAATCACACAAGAAGAAATAACAAAGATCTAACACCCTAACACCTTAATCAATCATTGAAACCACCCTAATCTAGGGATGTCAATTTGGGCCAAAGCCCAAGCCCGGCCTGGCCCGGCCCTGAAAAAAATCGGGTTTGGCTTTGGTATAAACGCCCAAAAAAATCGGGTTTTTTGGGCTAAATGGGCTTAGCCCGATCGGTCTCGGGCTTACCCGAAAAGCCCTGTACTTCATATTATAATTTTATTTAAAAAAATTTATTCATAAATTATCTTTACAATTTAAAAAATTTAGAGTTATTAGTTTTTTATAATACTTTTTATTAATATAAAACCTTAAATTTTAGTTGTGTGCCTTCATATAACATCAATGCTCAAATTAAACTAGTTTCAAGAAGCACTCCTACCTTCATCCTGAAGATTCTTATCTTGATTATAATGTTTCTACTATTTATATTACTTATTTATTTAATTATATTTGATATTAGAAGTTATATGAATTTATAAGTTGAAGTTTTGCTTTCAGATTTGATTAAACTATATTTATGATTATTTTTAAAATTTATTTTATTTTTCTAAAAAGCCCAAAAAGCCCAAAAAAGCTCGATAACCCTGCTAGAGCCGGGCCGGGCCAGACTTCAAAATATAGGCCCGATATATTATCGGGCCGGGCCGTGCAAGGCTTAAATATATGCAGGCTTTATGGGTTTCGGGCCGGGACGGGCCAGCCCGTTTGACATGCCTACCCTAATCTACCCTAATCTCAAACCTAAAATTGACTTCTCACTAATTATGTCTAAATCTGCAAAGTTATGGCTAAATATGATTATAAGTAGATAAAAGACAAATATTAAAAGAAAAGTACAAGAATTTATTAAAATATAAGCCTCGAGATCAAACTTGCTCTTAAAGAAAGTTCTTGAAA